TAAAAACTATCAGGTCTGTGCAGTGTCCTATTACATCTATTTACCAAGTTTTATTGAAATGTGATGATTAGTACTTGAGATATCAGTGGAAAAGCGGAAAATTGATTAATCATAATGCAAATTAGGTAATTAATATTGCACAGATTTTTACCCAAAACTAATCAAGTCTGCGCATTAATTTTGAGCATCTGTGTGCCAAGTTTCATCAAAATCCAATGAGTGGTTCTTTAGATATCAGTGGAACAGTCATGGAACAGCTAAAAATTAGCTAATTATCATGCAAATTAGATAATTAATATGCATGGATTTTTACCAAAACCTAATCAAATCTGCGCATTAGCCCAGAGCATCTATACACCAAGTTTCATCAAAAACTGATGTATGGTTCTTGAGATATCAGTGGAACAGACGGACACACATACACATACACACCCACCCATACACACAAATACAGACGCACTAACTGCAAAGACTCCTTTTTTGTGCTTCGCACACAGGAGTCAAAAACGGGAGATGCGTTCTGGACATTTTGACCTTCGCAGCTGTGTAAGAATTTTAAGAATCGACCAAGAATCAGGGGAGTTACAAGTAACTGAATGTCTTAGTGTTTACCTCAAATAGTTTTTGAATATATATATAATGAGCAATTTGAAACGATATTTCTCGCTGTTGCATATTTTGCGGAAGTTTTCCAATATTTTTTCGGAGAGAGCATATCGCTGCGTTTTGAACGATCATACTTCTTTGTGTGTTACCCGTTTTGTTTTCGTGTTCTGGGATGCCGAAACATGAGAAAGCTAGTGTCATGTACATGATATCTCTCAGCGTATCAGCGTGATCCGGTAACGGTAAAAACTGGAGGTGTGTTATTTATGTGGCGTTCGACTTCATAGTACGCGATCTACGCATTGTTCAGTGACTGTTTCAATTTTCTATTGTGTGTCAGTATTGTTGTTATTTCGAGTTTCACTGATTTTGTTTGACTTCTGTCATAGTTTTGTATAAAAATAGCCCAGTACTGTGGAATACTTTATTTTTGCTGGATTTAATTTTCGCTGAAAAGGCTTTTTGGGCGTTTTGTTTGGAATTTATTTTCACTGATTTTTGATGAGTTTAATGTGAAATATAGGAAAAAAAGTATATTCGCTGGATTTTATTTTCACGGAATCATCCCTTCAGCGAAAATAGCGAAAATAAATTCCAAGCGAAAATAAAGTATTCTACAGTATATTTCTTTTTATTCTTAATTTCAGGAAATGAAAAACACGAGATCGATCAGGGGTTGCAAAGTTCTACAGAGAAATTGTCATTATCTTCGTCAAAATGTTCTCCTAAAATAGCTTCCCACTCGTAATTATCGTCCTCAGATTCGCCAAATTTTTCTGTAAATGCTATTTTTCAAAGTTCACTGACAACTCCTGTCGTCTATGTCACTTCCTGTCTTTATGTCTCGCGATGCATCGCGATAGTTGATTGTAATATGAATAGATCTCGCGTTATTTTGTGAAATATAATGAAAATGTTGTTGCTCAGCAACGTTTACTCGGTACGATAAGAACTGATAACCTAAACAAACGTGGCACGCATTACTTCAAAAGAAAACGCTGCGTTGCGAGTCTGTTGCATTACTAGTCTGATCTGAGGTTTGGTTGACAATGAGGTTTGCAATTGACATCACTGTGATGATGCATTGCCTGTGGAATACGGTAAAAGGGGCCGAAGCATGCGCTTTGCGTACAAAATATGCTAATGACCTTTAACAAGATTATGACATAACTCATGAATATTATTTGAAAATGCAATTATTAAAGAAAGCATTTATTTTGAAATGCCAGAATCACGTATATTCGGTCTTGACCCCACTCTGTCTGTTGTGTTAATTTGAAGACTGTACATGCTTTCTATCATACTAGACTGTCAACCAAAATTAACAACTGTTTCTGGCCTTTACACTCAAGTCTGAATGAGCGTAGGCAAGCTTCAGTAGGTTTTGATTGTATACAGCGCCACCAGTGGCTATTCCTGTCTCCATGCATCTAGGTATATTGTTAAGTCCTCTCGTGTTATTCTTTCAAAAACCTAGAATGAGAATCAAAATCTTTGGGGGAGGAGACCTTAAGCTTTTCATTACCAGTTCCCTCTTTTCATCACATCACCCCGCTTATAGTCTGCAATTTCCTTCAGAAGATAGCTAAATTTTTTGAATAAAAACTGAAAATTTACTCAAATTTTGTCTGTTGGCTCTGAAATGAGGGTTCATTTCCAGAAATAATGAAGAATTTAAGAAAAAAGTACAGAATAATTTGGGTGAGAAAGTCTGATGCTTGAGTTGCGCCCTCCGGGGTGCGACAAACCCAACACATGCCTGACAGAATGATATAGTTTTTCAATTCCCCAGATGATTTTTTGTCCGTACCAATCAAATTGCAGGAACATCAGATAGTGACAGCCATAAAAGGGTAACCATTCATGGCAGAGTTTATTCCCGCTCATCTTGTTGAAAACAGTCTGTGATTTGTGCTTTGTGTTACCCTGACCACCAAAATGAATATTCATTGAAACTCATTGCCAGAAGGCATGAACTTTGCGAATTTGCAGTATTGATCTTGCCGATGAGACATACACTAATCTGACTTCTGATGCTGTTCGGCTGGCAAAGGTGCCACTCACTCCTACATGTCAAACTACATACAATGTAACTGTGGTCAAGCAAAACCATACCTTACATACTTCTCTCCTTGATTACCATATTTGTATTTAGCATGCATCCAGAGTATAATTGAAAACAGCAATGCATAGCAGGATTTTTTAGGTGCCCAAGATACATACACTACAGAGCAGAAACCATGATTTGATTTGCATAACTCAAACACTGAATTTGGTTCATACTCCAATTTGAAGTTAAAAGCTTTTAATAAAATACATTAAAGGACAGAAAACTGTGATCTTTAATGTTTTATAAGTATACATTTTTATAAATTAAAATGAAGGACCGTTGAGTGGAAACCCCGGAAAACACTAAACCAGTTGAAAAACACTAAACCTATTGAAAAAGACTAAACATGTTGAAAAAGACTAAACCTGTTGAAAAAACACTAAACCCTCGTAAAGGGCGAATT